CACTGGTGGCTCACGCCTGTAATCCCAGCTACTCCGGAACCTGAGATCTAACAAAACTAGCTGGGGCAGGAAAACCCTCATGAGACTCTTGTCTCCAATTAACCACTGGTGGAGCGCAGGCCCGGGCAGGCGCGGGGGGCGGACGCGCAGGGCAGGCGCGCGCGGGGCAGGCGCGGGGCAGACGCGGGTCAGAAGGCTTCCTTGGCGCTATTGAACTGCTGCGGGGGGAGCCGCAGCTGGGCGGGCAGCGTGTAAAAGGTGCACTCGGGGCTCGGAGGCCCCCCGGCTGGCGTCTGCGCACTTACGGGGATGGAACGGCTCAGGAACCTTCCCGTGGAGGACGCGAAGCCGGCGGCATAGGACGGCCGGAGAAGGGTGGGGGGATCCTCGGGTTTGGCACACGGGGGCCCCAGGTGGCTGTTGAGGTTGGCGGGGGTGCCGCCGCCGCTGCCTCGGTTGTACTGGTTGTTGTTGAGCTCGGCGTAGTTCCTGCAGGGCGTCTGGGGGGCGCCATTGGAGACGCTGGAGAACGGGCTGCTGGGGAAGCTGGTCTTGGGGGGCGATGTCTTTCGGTTTTCGGGCTCATCCATGGCCGCGTTCAGGTTCCCTAGAGAACTGGCCAGCCGGGAGTTTATGGAAAAGCTGCGAGACACGGGAGAAGAGGAAGGGAAAAGCAAAAGCAAAAGCAGCAGGCTGAGACCCGAGGATCACAGTTCAAAGCCAGCCTGCGCAGAAGTCATGAGATTCTTATCCCCAATGAAACACCACCACCCCATTCCCCCCAAAAAGGGGCTAGGAATAAAGGCTGGAGCTTAAGGGGCAGGGCCCTAGCCTTGAGCAAAAAAAAAAAAAAAAAAAAAAAACACACACACAAAAACCCAGGGCCCATGTCCAGGCTCTGGGTTCAAGCCTCAGGATCGGCATACAAACAAACAAAGCATAGTTTAGATTTCTTCCAGGCAGGAAATAAATGTAAAAAAATAAATAAGTATAAAGCAGACATAAGTATACGATTTAACATCTAGTCAAGCACACAACGACACACAATGTCCTATCACGGCCACTGTCCTTGTTGCTCACCTGTTAAATAATCCAGGTGACACCTTTTCTGGTGAGTCAGACACATGAAATGAACTACAACAACATTGTCCCCGTGTCCCTGTCCCCAGCAAGAAAGTGAGCTAGGAACCAAAGTCCTGGAGGATTGGGACGCAGCCGGGGGGGGGGGGGGGGCTTTCTCCCCTTCTTTCTCTACTGCAACCAAATTCAAAGACTGCTCCTTACCTGAAACCAGCACCTGGGGCAAGGGAGGAGAAAGTTACCTTCTTGTACTAGAATTTGAAGTCACAGAACCTCGGGTTATCCTCCTGGCCGACGCAGAAGGGGATGAAGCCACTTTGGGGGCCTTCACAGTAGACACGGATGGTTGTGGGGAAGTGCTTAATAATCTTTAGGGAGAAAAATGAACCCAGTGTCACATAAAAGCAGTGGTATGCGGAATCTTCAGCAGCAAACTAGGATAAGATGAATAAGTCTCAGGGGTGTGAGCACATGGTGAGAATGGCATCTGACACTGCTGGATGCACATGGTGGGGGGGGGGTCCCTCATGTCAGCACAAAGGACTAGGTTCCTCATCCAAAGCCAGCATGCTGGCAAGTGGGAGAGCTGAGACTCAAACCACGCTATGTGTGGAATTTCCTCTCCTTAACACTGATAGTGGTGCTTCCGGTGGTTTTGAGATCCTACTCTAAACCGTCCTTTCTTTTCCTTCCTGCCATCATTACATCTGTCCTACCTATCAGGGCCATCTGGGAAAACCTTATTTCTACATTCCAATGATGAATGGCTTCCAGTGAAATCTAAAAGAGCGAATCATGTGAGGTCAACGTTTCACCTTTCCTTGATGCCCAGAAAACCTGAATTTCTTGGTGTGGCTCACAAACAAAACAGCCACAAGAAAAAAAAGACCCAATATCTGGCATTTGACTCTCTACCCAGGCCCTGCTCTCAACCTTCACCTATTAGATATCTGACTCCAAATACACAAAAGACCTGGTGCTTCCTGACTGGCCTTTGGTATGGTAGTTCCTGTCAGGGCATCATCCGCTCCCTGCCTTCCCCCACCCCACCTCTGCTCTCCCCCCACCCGTCACCTGACATACCCCTACAGCCTGCCTGCGAATTACCAACCAGTTCTTAACCTACACAGGAAGCTTACTCCAAATTCCCAAGCAGGGCAAGTACCATCATTCATCATAATATCCGTGCTGTAGCTCGTACATCATAGTTCAAGCTGGAGATTGACCAGACAAACTGACTTCTCTACAAAAATTATCTCCAAAACCCTGTGCTCTGCAAGTAAGCCAGGAACTGAAAGCTTCAATGATCCCAGAATCTTAGGGAAGTGTGTATATGTATATAGGAAGTGTGTGTCTGTCTGTCTGTCTGTCACGCGTGCACACCCACTTGGGACTTGAGCTCGATCACTTGAACCACAGCTCCACTTCTAGCCTATTTGGTACTTTGAGGATAAGAATGTTATGTACTTTCCTGCCTGAGATGGCTTCAAACAGAGATCTTCAGATCTCAACCTCCTGAGTACCTAGGATTACAGGTGGGAACCACCAGCAACCTGGCTCATCTGATATTTTTTTGTCTATTTCCTTCACTTGACTTGTCTCTAAACATCCACCAGTTGGACAAAAGGGGGAATAAATGGCTCAAACCTGGATAGCCAGGCTCAATCATGATTCTAATACCAAATATACTTAGTCCTAGGCAAATCATATGATGTTAGCTGGACTTTGGCCTTCCCATCTACTAGAGAAAAGCACTTTGACTTGTAGACTCTTTCCTTGTTTATCAACCTTCCCTAACAGCCTATTAATGGCATGTTTTGCCTCAAAACAGAGCTGGAGAGCTAGTACAAGAATGTGGTTCAAGCTCCCTGACAAGCCATTTTTCTTCCTCTCAGAATGCCCTCCACAGGACAATTCTAAGCTTAAAGATGAATAGGAAGTAGTTTTGGCCAAATACTTCTACTGAAGTTGGCACACACTATGTTGGATCCTGGTTCCACTGTAGAAATACTTGAGATGTTTTCCCAGAAAAAAAAAAAATACAAAAGTTTCCTCTTGCCATGAAAAGACAAGGAAGGAAACAGAACTATACATAAAAGGAAGTAAGAACTGGGCACTGGTGGCTCACGCCTGTAATCCCAGCTACTCCGGAACCTGAGATCTAACAAAACTAGCTGGGGCAGGAAAACCCTCATGAGACTCTTGTCTCCAATTAACCACTTGAAAACTGGAAGTGGTGCTGTGGCTCAAAGTGGTAAAGTGCCAACCTTGAGCAAAAGAGCTCAGGGACAGCGCCCAGGTCCAAAGCTCAGGCCCCATGACTGCCCGCCCCCCCAAAAAAAAGTTAAACTTAAAAAATAATAATACTAAAGCATTTTGTAACCATCTGGAACACAAGTTGGGCTTGGGGTTGTAGCTCAAGGGTGGAGAGATTGTCTAGCATGCAGACAGCCATGGATTCCATCTCTAGCACAAAATAAAACATCAAAAAGTTATCTTCACAGTCTACGTTCCTCAGGTTGAGGCTTAGGAAATAAGCTAAAAGGTAGCATGTGTGTATGGGGTACTAGAAAGTCAACAGTGGCCTTGGTAACCATACCTAAATGGCTGGAACACTGCACGTGGGTGCCCTTTTGTGTCATCGGACCTGTGGACCAAAGACAAGTGCTCAAGCATTAGCAGATTCACACATTTCAACAGCAGCAAAAGGCACAGCACATGCAGTCAGATCAGCAAAAGGATTAGCTTGCCAAAAGGCAAAACCTCCCAAGCACAAATTTGTATTTATCCACTTTATAAAATAAACCCTAGAGCCAGACACTGGTAGCTCACACCTGTAATCCTAGCTACTCAGGAGGCTGAGATCAAAGGATGGAGATTCAAAGCCAAGCCAGCAGCAAGATCTGTGAGACTTCTATCTCCAATAAGCTCAGCAAAAGAGCTGGAAGTGGTAGATCACTAACCTTGAGCAAAATAGCTCAGGAGCAGCACCCAGGCCTTGAGTTCAAACCCCAGAATTGGCAGAAAAAAAAAAACATTAAAAAAAAAACTACTGCCAGCAGGATATCTATTTAAATATTTGACTTTATCATGAATATTATTGACATCATCTTAATTTTAAGTCAGAATGTGGTACTGCATTCACTTAGGATAAAACAAAATGTTCCATGATGATAGTATCAGGACAGTATTAAGAAGACTAAATCGTAAACGGTCAGAAAACTTCTGACAGTTAAAATGGACTGAAAATAATTCTATCTGGAGAAGCCTTCTAAAATTTGCGGGGCAGAGCTTCATTTCTTTAGCTTATTTACTTGCCAACTTGTACTTTGTTCTAAAACCTCCCTCCCTCCTCTCCTGAAGAATTTTTAAAAATTAACTGGGGATAGCTCAGGGGAAAATATCTGCCTAGCATGCTCAAAGATCCTGGGGTGGATCTCCAGTTCAATATAGAAAAAAAAAATAGGCCTTAAACTCAGACATAAATTAACTTGGAATTGATTTAAATTATATGTACATATACTATATGTTACTCTATAGATAGATAGATAGATAGATAGAAAGAAAGAAAAAGAAAGAAAGAAAGAAAAGAATAGAAAATATATAGTGCTGGGTATCAAACTCCATTCATCAGGGAAATGCATACCTTGCTAACACCAAGCAGTAACCCCAAAGTGAATGACCATACCTTTTGTGTTCCCTAGCTAGCCCTTATATTCACTTAGCCTCTGGCATGGCTCTTTGCCCACAGCAGGTACTTGGCAAATGGAACTTTTCTCCTCGACCCCCCCTAGTGGAAGTTGAGGTTTTCTACTAAACACAAGGCCTGACCTCCAATTTTCTCATTGTACTAGTGAAAATCATAACCTCAGAAGGAACTCTTTATCTGTGTGGGTATGGAAGTACTGAGGCTTGAACTCAAGACCTGGTTCTTTCACTCAAGGCTGTCATTCTACACTTGAGCCACATCTGCACTCTGGCTTTTTCTCTGGCTCACTGGAGATAAAAAGTCTCAAGTATTTTCCTATCCAGACTGACTTTGAACTGAGATGCTCAGATCTCAGCCTTCTGAGGAGCTAGGATTACAGGTGTGAGCCACTGGTCCCTCACTATGAACTTTGACTTCGTAGGTGTCAACTAGCATTCAAAATTTCATCTTTAATTAAGAGTTATAACACACAAAAGCTGAGTTCTCTAGGAGTCTGTCTGATGTTTACTATTGCAGGAAAATATTTTTCCTGCCATCGACATCTATTTCTCATTTATTAAGTCAAAAGAGAATAGATATCTCCCATTATTCATTTGTGGTCTACAACTTTGCAGGAAAGAATCTTGATGGTATTTGTGGATTTTTGCACTCATATTGATTCTGTGACCTTGGTGGGTTTCTTTTGTTTTGGTTCTGCTTTTGCTTTGAATTCATTCTGAACTATCAGCAGGTTTTAAAACCCGAGTTCCAAGGCTATTTCCCCATTGATTCTGATGGGTAATTTTGGACTTCAAAGTGGAGTTGATTTATAACTTAGCAGGCATACATAAATATTCTTTATTCTATTCTCAGAAATAGGAGGTAAAGCCAGGGAAACTGTGGGAAGAACCAGGGCTTTGAACACTACTTCTCCACAACACAGGCCACTAAACTAGAAACCCACTCCTGGGAATTTGAAACAGAGAAGCAGAGATAACTGTTTCACAGAGTCAGACAGAATTCCACAGACTCCGATTATAGCACTTGCTTTCAGTAAGCTTCTAAAACTTCCCAACAGTGATTAAAACACATAATAAACATCACAGAAAAGGTGAGATGGAACACAGAAGATTAACTTGGCGTTTGTAGAATTATATTTTGAAAAGATTAAACATTTCTTCCACAAATGAATATAAGAGTTGAAGGGAGATCTACCTAAATACACTGGACGGGGAGGGGCGTGGCTGTCTCTGACTTTTTAAGGCACGTAGTTTGTCTCCCTGGGTTATGTTACTTTTCATTTCCATCTCTTCATCCTCTTCTAAGTCCTGAAAAACAAATGCACAGCCCCATTATTGTGAACAGTTGGGCTCCTTACTCTGTTTTCTTAACAGATAACAGATCTTCAGTGCTTATAGATACATCATTGATAAGTAATCTTCTCACAAATTATCTTAATTGCCTTAGGAACTTGACATCCAAACAGACAATAAAGAATGCACAACTAGCCAGGCACTAGCGGCTCACGCTTGTTATCCCAGCTACTCAGGAGGCTAAAATCTGAGGAAGGAGAAACTCCATGAGATTCTTATCTCCAGTTAAGCACAAGGAAAAAGCTGAAAGTGAGGCTGTGGTTCAAGTGGTAGAGTGCTAGCCTTGAGCAAAAAAAAAAAGCTCAGGACAATGTCTGGACCCTGAGTTCAAGCACCAGGATTACAATAATTTTTTAAAAATAAAAAAGAATGCACAACTCTTTGTCATTTAAATACACTGATCAAATTCCAAATCGAAGAAGTGTGGTTATAAATGTGCTAGAATATGAAAGGTGCTGATTGTTCCAGTAGACAACCTAGTGTGGTCCTGTCCTGCTTTGGAACAGGAACTAACAGACTGACTCAACAGATACAGTATCAGTGTGTTCCAGAAAGGTCCAGGAGCCATTCTTCCAGTTCCACACATTGTTTACAAAATTACAAGATAAATTCAGGTGCCAACAGCTTATGCTTGCAATCTGAGCTGCTCAGGAGGCTGAGAGGATAGCAGTTCAAAGGCAGCCCAGGCAGGAAAGTCTGTGAAACTCTTATCTCCAATAAACCACCAGAAAACCGAAAGTGGTGCTGTAGCTCAAGTGGTAGAGCGCTAGCCTTGAGCTAAAGAGCTGAGGGACAATGCCCAGGCCCAGAGTTCAAGCCCCACAATCGACCAAAAAAAAGAAAATGTCACTAGAAGCCAAACACATTAACATTTGGGCACAGCCTTCTAGAATTTTCCCTATGCTATACAACCTTCCCTATACAGACTTCAACATACTTCTCCCTTACAAAACTAGGTTGTATGATATATAGTGCTTTATGAGTTACTTTCTTTCCCCCATTTAACATACATAGCAAAAGTGTTTCCAGCTATATTTGAAAACATTGTCCATATTATCACTTCATAGTCCCATAAAACACCACTGTCTCACCAGGCCACGCTGTGTTATTTAACAAACGCTCTGGGACGGGCCGTTTTGTCTCTTGTCCTGGCTACACACGGCTGTACAGCATGCTTCTTAGAACACTGCCCTATTATTGCCTTGAAACTCATTCACAGAGGTAGAATTGATACAATCACTTCAAAGTCATCTTCTGCACATTAGCAAATTTCCCTACAAAATATCTACCTCATTTTAAACTCCCTACTAGCAAAGTTGAAGAGCTTTTAAGTCCTTCAATCCTTGCTAGTACTGCATCCATTCCTTTGACATTTGATAGACATGCATAAATAGCACCTCATCATTTCAATTCGTGTTTCTTCCATTACGAGGGAAGTGGAAGGTACTTTATGTTCAGCAGCCATAAAGGTTCTAGCACCTGGACTTTTCACATTGATTTGAAACAGCTCTGTGCCCCTCCCTGCTTTGCATAGATTGCGAACATTTATTTCTAGTTGCTCCCTATGAGGAAAGTGAATTGGGAATGCAGAGGGGCCAGCTGCACATCTGCCACCCCAGTGACACAGGGACATTCAGAGAGAAGGATCACCATCTAGGCTATTTCCAGCATGAAGTGAGACTATCTCAAAAATAACCAATGCAAGCTGGGTGCCAATGGCTCACACCTACAACCCTAGCTACTCAAGGGACTGAGATCTGAAGCGGTGCTATGGTTAAAGTGGTAGAGTGCCAGCCTGGAGCGATAAAGCTAAGGGACAAGCACTCAGGCCCTGAGTTCAAGCTACAATATCAGCACACAAAAGGAGGGAAGAAGGAGTGGAAAGAAAAGAAAAAAGGAAAGAAGGAGAGAGGGAGGGAGGGAGGGAGGGAAGGAAGGAAAGAATGGAGGAAGGAGGGAGGGAGGGAAAGAAGGAAAATAATCAAAATGCAAAGAGAGGCTGGCAGAATGGCTCAAGTAGTACTAGAGTTCTTGCTTAGCAAGTATGAGGCTTTCAGTTCAAACTCCAGTGCTGCTAAGAAAAAAGCAGGGAAGGGAAGGTGGGGAGAAGGGACAGGGGAAGGGAAAGACAGAGGAATGGAGGAGAGGGATATGGGAGGGGAAGAGAGGGGCAGGGAAGGAACAGAGGGGAGGGACAGAAGGAAGGAAGGAGAGAGACAGGGGAGGAATAGGGGAGAGAAGGGGAGGAATAGAAGAAGAATAGGGAAGGGGAGGGGAAGCAAAGCAGAGAATGACCCAGACAGGAGTAGGATCAGACCCACATGGGTTGGGGTGGGGGGATGTTGAGTGTTTTCTCCAGTACCTAGGCCAGCACTGAGGACCTAGCTCAACAAAGGAAAAGACTTTAAGTATTTCTCATGCTTCAAGAAAACTCACTAGAGTCCAGCATGACCTGCCTTGCTCTAGTCAATCTTCTTTCAGATTCTCTAAATCAGATTGTTACAGAAACTCCTCATAACCAATCACAAGGAAACTCTTGTAGGGGAAAAAAAATCAAATTAATTTCAAGTCTCCACTTCCAATCTTTTATTGTTTTTTTTTTTTTTTCAAAGCAACCTTTAGAGGAATGTAACTGTTGCCCTTCATGTACAATCTACATTAACCCACAACTCCTCTGGGCTTCTGCCCTGAATCCTACAGCAATTCTTGACTTCTTGCTTCCACTTGGAATTTACAAGAACCATTAAGATACCACTAAAGCTATGAGGACCACTTCGGAGTCACCGATTTCCCCAGTTCCGTGCCTGGCACCAGACGAACAGGGCAGGGCAGAAAAAGAGTTTGGATGTTTCTTGGACCCATCACCCAACAACTATAAAGTGGTTCAAAGGCCATAGCTAGGTCACTATGTAAAATACTAGCCACATCATCATTCCCTGGCATCTCTGAGTTCTTGCATTCTTGTACTCAAGTTATAGAAACAGTGGACAGGTATAACTGGCTAAAGTTAATGTAATTATTTGGTGATGTTTGCGCCAAAATTCATTTTTTGTATTCCTCCAGAATTTACCATTCACAAGGTAATGTATTAGAGCATGACACGGAGCATTCCTCAATGGATATTTTTATAAATAAAAGAGGCTGCCTTGTCCCTTAGCTCTGTGAGGACAAAAAGGAAAAGTATCATCTATGAGCCAGAAATCAGCTTCTCTACCAGACACTGTGCCAGGGTCTTGAACCCTACAACCTCCATAACTATGAGAAATAAACTCCTGTTGTTCGTAAGCCATACAGATGATGGTGATTTGTTATAGCAACTTGAATAAGCCGAGGTTGGACAGAGTAAGGCTGAGTGGGAAAGCAAACAGCCATCAAAATAAATATTTGTACTTAAAATTAGCATAGCTTACATATCAATAATAGTGCAGTCCTTACTCTTCCAGAGATAAAGAGTTAATTCTTCTTTAGTTTAATAAGTAGGGGTCTAAACAAGGATGAGAATGAAATATTCTAGCTAGCAGATAGTCATTAATACAGATTATAATAGAGAAAGCATGATGATCTTGCAAGTTATGTTCCTAAGATAAAGGGTAGCTTTCTCTTTTTTTTCCCCCTTTGATGTTGGTACTGAAGTCTGCATTCAGGACCTGGGCACTGTCCCTGAACTTTCTCACATGAGGCTAGCACACTACCATTTGAGCCACACTCTACTTCTGGATTTTTGGTGGTTAATAAGAGATAAGAATCTCATAGACTTTCCTGCCTGGGCTGGCTTTGAATCTTGATCCTCTGATCTCAGCCTCCTCAGTAGGTAGGATTACAGGTGTGAGCCACTGGCCCTTAGCCTAGAGGAATACATTCAGTTTGTCTTTTCTGAGGTCAAAATTCAAAGCCCTATTTACTTGAATTCACCCTGAAAAGAAAATGATGATCAGAGCCAGAAAAGAGAAAGAAAAATAAAAGGTATTCTCATTTAACAGTATTGATTATATTAAAATGTTAGTTCTAGGGCTGGAGACATGGCTCAGGTGGTAGAGCACCAACCAATGAGCAAGAAACATCAGATAACCATGTCTGAGTCCTAAACATAAATAAATTAAATTAAATTAAAAAATGTTAGTTCAGACCATCTCTTAGCTTTTAGCAGACCAGACTGCACCACAGAGGCAAGAAAAAAAATCAAGCTATACTCTGAATGTGAAGAATATTTACATTTCCTCAGGACAGATGAATCACAGGGTTTTCAAACCAGGTCCCATCTGCCCCCTGGTCTCCAACCTTTGTCCTTGAAGAAAACCCACTCACCCCATGTCCAATCACTTTGGGCTTGCTTTTCTTCTAAAAGAAAAGAGGGATGCTAGCTGTTCACCTGTGAGTGCTGTCATGCATTCGCCCCATGCTAGTTTGAGTCTAAATGCTAAAAGGACCAAGGGACGTAGCTCAGCTGGTGGAGTGATTGCTTGGCAGGTGCAAAGCCTGGAATTTAAATCTGGATATCTACTTCTATTTTCAAATAGAGAATTTGCTTATTCTATTTTTTCCCTATAAATACTCTCCTCATCAGAATAGCTTCCTTAATGATTCTACTCCTTTAATGATAGCTTCTTTTATTTTTTATAGGGCCATTGGCTTCTGTGCTCTGATTTGCATGTAGATGCATCCACACCTAAAATGATGGCTCTCAATAAGGGCCTCAGAGGAAGAGCCTACTTGCTTTATTTATTCATTTGGGGGCAAATAAGTAGTAAGGTGCTAGAATTTTCTTGGGGAAAACTTACCTCTCCAAACTTGTCTATGTTTTGTACTTTGGGTAAGTTTCCAGAAATTGACATTTCATCCAAGCTAGAAAGAATTTTATTAAGACTTCCTTCACTGGATTGTCTGTTTTTCAATTTCGATCGAAAAATGTCTCCTTGGACCCACAGCGATGCTTGTTTCCTGAGAAAAGAGAGAGAGAGAGAGAGGGACAGAGAGAGAGGGAGAATAAAAAACATGATACCTTTAAAAATAACAAGAAACATTTATAAATCAGATTAAAAAGATTTCAAAGTTTTAGACAATAAAATCTCTTTTCACCAATCTTACATTAAACACAAACATCTTCCCACATTAGTCATTGTATAACCTTATATGGGAAGTAACTATTAAGGTCCTCAGAATAGAGTTCATTTGAAGTCTGTAAGCTATTTTTCAGGTAGCAATTGGATATGCTTGCTCATAAAAAAATGGCTTGACTAAACTTGACTTGAAAACATGGGTGAAAGAACTTGAGTTCCACAGAGACAAAATGTCGGCGGTGTGAAGGTCAGAGCCCTTCAGTGTAAAGGCTGAACACATACTTGTGTGAGCAACATGAAAGACCCTCAACATGGAACTTTAGAAAGCAGAAACTTAGAAACTTTAGTCCTAGTGGTGCAGTGGCTCATACCTATAATCCAAGCTACTCAAGAGGCTGAGATCTAAGAATCCTGGTTTGAAGCCAGTCCAGGCAGATAAATCTTCAAGACTCTTATCTCCAAGTAACAGCAAAAACTCAGGGAAAGCTCAGGGACAATGCCCAGGTCCTAGAGTTCAAGCCTCAGGACTGGCACACAAAAGTTAAATGAATGAATTTATTAATTAAGTAATTTTAAAAAACACAGCACTGTGGCTTCAATGAGATAACAGACTCATCAAGGATATTATACCAAATAAAAAAATAAATTTTCTTTCTTAAAGCATCAGGCAGACAGAATGCTCCACATAACACAGAATTTATAACCTGAGGAGAAAGCAATGAAAATACCTTCCCCGCCCCCACCCCCTTCCTGCCCCCAACTGGTTTATTGGGGTTTCAGAAAGCAATCCTTCTGCCCTTGCAACAAGTTTATTCTCAGATCAGAACATTAGACGGCAGCAACATTTTACATGCACATTTAAGTGTAGCCATCCGTATTTGGGTATCATCTTACAAAAATGCTCATTGTATGTGATACAAAAACGCTTATGAAGCATCATTTGCAAGAGTGAAATACTAAAGGCTTCTTGTGGGAAAACCACATCCGTTGTGAAATATTACACAGCTGCTTAAAAACCTACCTCATACCTACACATACTGGGAAAAAGTGGCTATGAAATGCAGTATAATGAGTGAAAAATACAAGGAACAGAGTATGCAAGGTATGATTCTGTGTGTGTTAAAAAGGAAAAAGAAGGTGGGCTGGCTGGAGATATTGTGCAAGTAGAATAGTGCCTGCCTAACAAACAGGATGCTGAATTCAAACCCAGGACACCAAAAAGGAGACAGATGATAGATAAGAGATAGAAAGGAGTGTTGAGAGATGATTGATAAAGATAAATGATAGGGCTAGGAATGTGGCTTAGTGGTAGAGTTCTCCCCTAGCATGCACAAAGCCCTGGGTTCAATTCCTCAGTTCCATATACACAGAAAAAGCTGGAAGTGTACCATGGTTCAAGTGGTAGAGTGCTAGCCTTGAGCCAAAGAAGCTCAGGGACAGTGCCCAGGCCCTGAGTTCAAGCTCCAAAACTGGCAAAAAAAAGAAACAGAAAAACAAATATAAAAGATAAATGTTTAATGAAGATAGGAAAGAAAGAAAGATAGGATAGGATGGGGGTGGATGGTTACAATATTAACAAAAAGTTTACAGATATTTATAAGAATACACACACCTAGATATTAACTAGTTACTTCTGAGAATGGTGATAAGGGAAAGTTTCATTTCCTACTATTCTGTAAGTGTGTTTATTTTTTTAAAACAACATGTTTGTTCATTTTCTAGGGTGTATTTAAGTTCTGTTAAACTATGTGTTTATTCACTTTTGTAAAAACAAATAAATCAAAGTGATCAAAAAAATAAAATAAAAAATGAAAGCAAGTAAAGATCAAAGTAGAACCAAGCTAGGAAATTTTAAAGTTACAAGAGAGGGTAAACAACACATCTCCACACATTCTGGACAGTATGTTTAAAGTAGAATAATGCAAAAAGGTTTAACAGCATGGGATGGGACTAGAAAATAGTTGGGAGACTTGGGGGGGGAGGTACTGGGGTTTGAATTTAGGGCTTCACATTTGCCAGGCAGGCACTCTACCACTTGAGCTTCTATATCTTTTGGTTCTAGTTATTTTTTTTCTTTTAGCACATCAGTTACATTTTATAATTCCATTATAAACACTTGCTTCAAGTTCTTTTATGAAAAAGGCAAGATAATTCATAAGTAAAATACACAAATATGTATTCATTATAGATGAAAAGCCTTTTGCTAGTGATGGTGTTTAATTATAACACTATTTACACTCCAGTAACTTTTCTTGATGGAAAAAAAAAAATCAAGAAATCATGGAGAGTCTAGTTTTTTGAAATAGGATTTCACTTTTTCCCCAGGCTAGCCTAGACCAAGACCCGCCTGTTCACACTTCCCACCATAGCTGAGAAGACAGGCTACATATACATCCAGCTTTCTGCTCAGGTCGGGGTCTCACAGACTTGTTTTTCCTCCTGATCTCAGCCTTCTGCTGACATCACTGGGATGACAGGTGCAGGAAGTTTCCAGGTTACAGTAAGAAAAGTAAAGCATCAAAATCCAGTGTCATGAGCTCTGTGACCAAGATTCACATAGGACCTAAGGAGAAGGGGTCTCAACTCGGAAAATCAGAAATCCCCTAAGAACCGGGAGAGATATTGCAGTCAATACTAGATCACCTATTTGTAGAAGGTCCCATAAGATCATAATGGAATTGAAAGATCCTAGTGACATTGTAACCACTAGCAACAGCACAGCACAACGTGTCACTCACATTTGTGGTAAACAAAGCTGTTGTGCCATCAGTCAGGTAAAAGTATAGCAAAGAAAATTATGTACAGTACATTAGACTTGATATTCACCTTTATATATATATAAAACTATATATATATATGTTTTATATACACTTAGTTATCTACGATATATAATTATATATGAGGTAGAAAAATGTAGAATATATTGTATATAGTATAATACAATTAATGATATATCGTATTATATATAAATGTGTCATACGTAATGTTATAAAAAATACATGATATACATATACGCATACATTTATCATTTTTGTTTGTTTTTTGCCAGTCCTGGGGCTTGGACTCAGGGCCTGGATATTGTCCCTGAACTTTTTTTGCTCAAAGCTAGCAAGCACTCTACCTTGAGCCACAGTGCCACTTCTGGCTTTTTCTGTGTATGTGGTACTGAGTAATCAAGCCCAGGACTTCATGCATGCTAGGCTAGCACTCTACCACTAAGCCACATTCCCAGTCCTCTAGCATTGTTTTAGAGTGCCTTCCATCTACTTTTTTTTTTTTAATGTCTAAGCTGGGCACCAGTGGCTCATGCCTGTAATCCTGGCTACTCAGGACCCTGAGATTTAGAAAGTCATAGTTTGAAGCCCATCCCAGCAGGAAAGTCTACAAATACTCCATCTAGCAAAAAGCTTGGCTCATGGCATGGATGAAGTGGAAGCATACCAGATGAGCAAGCAAGCCAAGTAAATGCAAAGCTGTGAGTTCCAATCCTGGAATCCACCAGAAGAAGAAGAAAAAATACTGTAAAACACTATGCCACGTTAACTGGCAGCAGCCTCATCCATCTACGTTTCCTATGTCTCTTAACCTCAACAAGAGACGATGTTAGTTGATCATCTATGTTATCTCAGTTTCTAGATAACTCTATATCACTTTCCCAGGGTGATGGAACTGCCTGGAACACATGTCTCCCCATAGATGCCTGTCCTTAAGCAAAACACGAATGTTTCTAGAAAGATAAGCAGGACATACCCGGCAAAGAAGATCCCCTCAAGCAAAGCAAACAGTGCACACAGGCTGGGAAAAGAGTGATTTCAAAGAACACAGCATGTTCAGGGAACAAGACTGTTTCCTTTGGCTTAAAGCAGAGGCCTTCAGAAAAGTGGGTGTGCGCCAACTTATGTTTACGACAGGCCCTGCCCGCCAGGAGATGGGATTTAAATGTGCTGCCTGGAATCAAGAGAAGAGGCTGTGAGATCTTCAGACATAAAAATCTCCGAGTAGGGACAGAGGCAGAGAAGACGGGACCAAGAGGCTAAGTGATTAAAGGGAAAAAAATCCAATTCCAAAATAAGTAATACATTGGGAAATCGGCTACTGTTGCCAACATTAAGAGGAAATTTGCCAAGTGAAGGCTTTCCTTTGCTTGGTTTTAACAGATTCAATCTATCCCATCTCTGGGAAGACTTGATTTGAACCTGAATATTAACAACGAAGAAGGTGTCAGAGCCGATGTGAGTGTTGCTAAGGAATGCAGAAAGCAAGCCAGCCCTCCTTCAGACAAAAGCACCCTTCACATAAATACCTTTTTATTGATACTGAAAGCCATAATAGCTTTTATTGTGGTGTCTGTTACTCCTTAAAAACCCCATCTCAAACAAAAGCGGTAAAACATGTATTTTTTTAAGTATTTAGCATTTAAAACTCTCATCTTAGGAAGCTTAACACATTCACTGAAAATAAATCCTCTGATAATGTGATGTGTTTTCTAAGATGTGTTTTCTGCTATCAGAACAAGGGCTTTGAAATAACAGGAAGCAGTTCCTCTCGATTTGAACAGGGTTTTGCTGAGACGAGGCCAGGGTTGGGGATAGGGCTCCTGATCATATTCTAGAATCAGGATTGGTTAGGTTGGAGCTAGCCAAGTACCAGGTGTGCGAAATGAACTAAATCTCCCTGTCTCTGCATGGAACAAACTGGTAGTTGGTTTTCACAGAGAGAATTCGAATTTCCTTGTAAATGTGTGTTCATAGTACTGCAATGGAACGCAAGTCAGTTATAAATACTTCTGGGTTTGAATTCCAACACCATAGAACTGTGTGTGTGTGTGTGTGTGTGTGTGTGTGTGTGTGTGTGTAATGCACATACGCACCAGTCCTAAGA